TTTTTGCGATCATCAGGATTTTCGCAAAATCGTGAAACCCAGGGTTACAAAAACTAGATATATATATATATATATATATATATATATATATATATATATATATATATATATATATATATATATATATTGTATCAAAATTACGTTTAGAAAATTTGGGGCGGGTTCATTCATTAAGAATTATAAAAAAAAGAGCAACAAAGAATTTTTGTTGAATACATAATCACAAGACACGCAATTAATATATATTTTTTCACACCTCCGAATGTTACTTATCAGGAAAAAAGATTTTAATCCAACTAAATATAATTAAATTTGCATAGCGTTCTAAAATATACCATTAGTGTTTGGAAGCTGTGACAAGCTAGTTATTTACGTTAGATATATAACACTGATCTGCGCTTAAGGACACTTCACGTTGAAACCCCGGTACCCGTACGATCACTGCAGTTTAGGAACGTTGAGCTTGGTCAGTACTTAGAAGGGTGACTGCTGGGTAGTTTGAATGTGCGGTTGGGGCAATGAATAATGGCTCGGAATTTTTAACTGGAGAGTCGATTTCCATTTCCCTTTGGGTTCTTTATATTGCCTTATGCGTAAAAGACGTTGAGAACGGTATAAACCGACCTATTCTCCTCCAGCTATGGGTTAATTAGTAAGACATGTATCGCTAAAAAATTCTTAAAATCTAAAAATATTTTCTTTGCTTTAAATAATATTTTTTTTAATCGTTTCACTCCAAGCAAGGCGGGAATGCCACTAGTAAGCAGGGTTTACGGGGAGTGAATGTGAAAGACTAGATTGAGTATCGGGAGGATGTACAAAAAAAATGAACGGGATTCAAGTAGATATAATATGGCGATTGACGTTGCGTTTACATTTTTGGAGTTTTTAGTTATCAAGGAAGCAATTAGACGTAAGGGATTTCCACAGGCGAGAAGTGCAGGAAAAAACTGCGGCAGGTGCTTTTAGTTAGTTGAACAGTAAACGTGTGAGCCCTACATGCTAATCTAGTGACAGACTTGAATTCATGTTGGCTAGGAGTTGGCGAAAAGTCTCGCCAGATCATCAACCATGAAAATATTTGTAAAAAAGACAGAGGGAAGCCATGTCATGTCAGTAAGAAAGTCGGCTTGCCAAGTCAGGATCGATTATATTACAGATTCTTCTTTGGATTTGCCAAGAACCTCGAGACGAATAGAAGGATCACATGACCAGATACGGCAGCAGTATTCAATGGACGGACGAATGGTCGATTTGTAAATGTGCAAGATGGGCTCGGACGAGAAAAAAATTCTGGCACGACACAGTGACCTAACTTTCCTTGCAGTAAATTGTTATAACACCTATAAATCGAATCAATTAATCAATTAATTTAGCTCTGATTTGAATTCTTCACGTACGCTGCAATCTTTGGCAACAAAGCAGGTTTTGTTATCATTCAAAATCTTATGAGCAGTAACATAGAGAAATGAGAATACATGTTTTCATATATATATATATATATATATATATATATATATATATATATATATATAATTAAGTTATGAAGAACTTGCTAATGCGTATGGGTAATCCCAAGAAGTAACTACCCTTTTACATTCTCTGTTAAACAGTTACATTACCCATCAATTCTAATTTCATTTTTCGCTTCATTTCATTTTTGGAAGTGCTATCTGATGATCCGGCGTCCTTTAAAAGGACTCTGGTGAAATAAATTATTATAATGGTATAATGGTACCTTAAAGTGGTTTGTTTTTCTTTATATATATATATATATATATATATATATATATATGATGTTGAAACTTGGACACTGTAACACAAGCACATAAATCAAATTCCAAAGAAGGTGCTGTATCGACAACTACCAAACTAGAAGCTTTCAGTTGGACGTCCACTCTTACGCTACAAAGACAAAATTAAAGACAACTTAAAACGTCTCAACTTTGATCTGAAAACCTGGGAAGCCCAAGCATCAAATCGAAAGGAGTGGCGTAAGAGATGTTTCAATTATTTAATGTGTTTTCAAGGTAGTAGACTGAAGCACCGTGATCAGCTTCATCAAGCTCTGAAGCAGAGACACCATCAAAATCCTACATTAACAAATTTCATCTGTCAGTATGGATTTGTTGCCCGAACAAGCCTGGGCTAGTATTACACTTCAGAAAGCAAAAATGAATTATGTTTTTTCCTTACATGATTTTCTACGCAATAGCCCCTGCGAACATGTGTAAGTCTAAAAAAAAAGTCTCCATTCAATGCTGACCCTCATTTATCGTTCACGATAGGAGAGAGTCCATATATATATATATATATATATATATATATATATATATATATACGTATGTGTATTTAGGCAGCAATGCTTCTTTCATGTACATTTCATTGAAAACGACAAACAAGGTGCTTTCATTTATTTTTTTATATAATTTCTCATGTGAACTAATATTTTTTTTCTTTTCGGATGATAAATTATATAAAACTATTTCTTATTTTAACAGTTAAAATATAATCCTTGAAAATGGCTAAATGCATAGCCGAAAGCGCTCATAAAAGAGCATTCGGATAGTTTTTTATATAATTTATCATCCGAAAAGAAAAATTATTAGATCGCATGAGAAATTGTACAAAAAACTAAATAAAAAAGTACCTTGTCTGTCGTTTCAATGAAATGTGCATATATATATATATATATATATATATATATATATATATATATATATATATATATATATATATATATATATGATCAGATAATCCTTCTCACGTGGAGACATATATTGTCTATTTTGCTCTGACTTAAAAAAAAGATTAAAAATATATTATATTTTTCATGTTTTTTTTTTTAATTTTAAAAATAAGCACGATCTGAAATGATTTAGTTATTTGACTCTACGCAGCACGTCCGTACATTCATTCATTGATATGTCTAACCTATTTCTGCCAGGAGGCACTCTATAGATATAAGAAATAAAATATTATGATATATGAAGTGACAAGTCTGAGTCAGTTCTGATATGAAAAACAAAAATCGATTCACGCAGTCATTTCTCATAACACCGTTACGAAGTCATGCTTTCATTACAGTTTAATCATACTTCTAATATATATATATATATATATATATATATATATATATATATATATATATATATATATATATATATATATAGGATCCAAAACCCTGACCTAGAGAGAAGAGTTATGGCGTATGATTAAGTTGATTGTATTAAATTTCCTATATTGAATGAAAAAGAAATTAAACAACCTATCGTTAATAATGATTTTCCCAATTACATCGTAGATGAGAAAATTAAACGAGACTTTAGAATTATTAACAGAAATCTATAAGCACGTAATACTTCCTCAAATAACCCTTAACATATCAACTTACATATCTGAAAGATGAAAATGTCCTAACTGATCTCATAAGTTCTAATATATGAAAATAATTATATATTTTACTAAATTTAGCACAATCAAAATGATCATAAGTAATAACACTTGTCCGTCAACCAGGGTTTGAGAAAAAAACCAACATTGTATACCCATGATGATGGGAGGCACAGTGAAGTAATGGATAGCGGCTTGGATTGAGGAATCGGAGAGCCGAGTTCGAATTCCAGTCGAATCCATTACTTTCACTTACGTGCTAACACCCTTGGGAAAGGTGTGAATCCTCTTTCTTCTCCCTCCAGCTATGGGTAAAATAGCAGGACAGACTGGGTTCTATAGCCTTGGATAGCAACTGGTCTAGGAGAAGGAAAACTCTTAATTCAAACCTGCTCTTAGAGGAGGGTGAATGGAGTCTCTCTGAGCCTTGGTTAGCAATCCATTTAGTGATGGTGTCACGATAAAGACACCCTTGATAGCCCTAGCGAAGCATCAAGAATTCAGCTATTTGACAAGATTATGAACTACACCAATCAAAGTATTGGTGAGTTCAATCTCGGCTGTGGCCGCAAGATGATGATGATGATGGTCTTGAAAAAGATTGAAACTACTTTCTTTAAGATATGCTGTCTAAATATTTTATTTACACGATCCAGTAGATCATCAAGATTTGTTTAGCTAAGTTCTGAATATTTTTATAATAATTTTTTAATGTTCTTAGCCAACCACTATTTTTAATATGAATTATATTTTTTTAATTTTTTTTTAAATAACTTTTTTTTTAATTATAAGTTTTTTTTTGTTTTGTTTTTTGTTTCGTTTTTTTTTTTTAAGTTGAATATATGTGTGACAAAAGCTTAAAGAATGAAGAGAGATTTTCGAATTTACTCTTAAAATCTTTCTTCAAATATATTCTGAATTGCAGGTTTCGCGTAACGATTTTTGTCTACAATCCGTGTATCTATCTATCTATCTATTTAGGTCATCACGGTTGTTAATACAACGGAAACTGTTTTCTCCCCCTCCCCACTGCCTACATAATGATAACTTAATATCTTTATTTCCACTACTCCTCATATAATGTCACTATTCTTAATCTTTTAACCTAAAGTTAATTTTTCAATCTTCATTTAGTCTACAGGCCTGAGGATTAGAAGCCATGTTTTATCTGCTTCAATGAAATAAAATATCACCTATGGTGTTTAAGTATTTGTCTTCCATTATATATATATATATATATATATATATATATATATATATAATGTATTTGGAAATGAGTGTCGTAATATCAGTACATTTTCCTATAAAAACTTATCTTTCTTACATTGGTAATGTGGGAGTGTTTTTGTTTTGACTATGTTGGACAGTTTCAACAAGCGTATGAAACGGAAGAGTGTAAAAAGAACGACTATGTGAAAGGGCAGAGAACAGTAATAATAATTGGAAAAATATATTTAAAAACCATATTTCTAAACAGAGAACTACATATCAATGTATTATACAATGTATTAGTACTAGTTTAAATAAATAAAATATTATTAAACGCACAACTTTTGCTGTTCTATATCAAAACCGGCATAAAACTGCAAGCTAAAATTGACTGAAAACTAGATATTATATGATTTTGATAGATAGATAGATAGATAGATAGATATAAACAGATTACGATAGATAGATAGATAGATAGATAGATAGATAGATAGATAGATAGATAGATAATAACCGATTGAAACAGGCAAACCGAGAGAAAGAGTTTCTGGCTGGCAGATAGGAGCACGCTGAGATATATATATATATATATATATATATATATATATATATATATATATATAGATATATATAGATATAGATGATATAAACAGATTGAGATAGATATAAACGATAGATAGATAGATAGATAGATAGATAGATAGATAGATAGATATAAACAGATTGAGATAGATATGAACAGATTACGATAGATAGATAGATAGATAGATAGATATAAACAGATTGAGATAGATATGAACAGATTACGATAGATAGATAGATAGATAGATATAAACAGATTGAGATAGATATGAACAGATTACGATAGATAGATAGATAGATAGATATAAACAGATTGAGATAGATATGAACAGATTACGATAGATAGATAGATCGATATAAACAGATTGAGATAGATATGAACAGATTACGATAGATAGATAGATAGATAGATAGATATAAACAGATTGAGATAGATATGAACAGATTACGATAGATAGATAGATATAAACAGATTGAGATAGATATGAACAGATTACGATAGATAGATATAAACAGATTGAGATAGATATGAACAGATTACGATAGATAAATAGATAGATAGATAGATCGATAGATATAAACAGATTGAGATAGATATGAACAGATTACGATAGATAGATAGATAGATAGATAGATAGATAGATATAAACAAATTACGATAGATAGATAGATAGATAGATAGATAGATGAATAGATAAGAACCGATTGAAATAGATATACCGAGAGTGACTGACAGACGGGAGCACGCTGATATATATATATATATATATATATATATATATATATATATATATATATATATATATATATGTATGTATGTATATGTATGTATAGATAGATAGATAGATAGATAGATAATGAACTGAGATTGATAAAAAGAAAAAGAATTACAGCTAAGTACATATATACATGCCGAGATAGATATGTAGATAGACAGACAGACAGACACAGAGAAATGACCCGACTGAGATAATCCGATAAGCAGGTACATAGACAGTTATTTTGTTTTATACATTTGAAACGATGAAATTCTGATTTCAGTATTAAATATCACAAGTTATAAAGATAAATCCATGTAATCTAATAAAGCCGTGAGAACTGTTTAACGATTTAGATAAATGTACTTTCAACGGTCAGGTCAGAGGTGACTGTCCAAACGACAGTCAACTCCAGAAATATTTAATGTCCATTTTCAAGGCAATTAAACTTTTTTTCAACAAAGACTACAGATTTACCATCAAGATGTCTCTTGGGAAATGACATACTGCTTTGCAATGGACAGAACAGTGTTCGATTTCCTTGTCAACACTCCCTACAAGACGTCGATTGCATCCCTTGCAGAAAAGCCACCTTCCACGAGGATGCCCTCAGACGCAAGTTTATGTTCAATCTATGCTTTCCCGTTAACTCAAGTATAAAATCGATCAATGTTTACCTACGGTCTCTAGTATAAACCTGGCCAATATCTGTTTATTTAATTCCAAAAGAAACACGACTTATACATGCCTTTGTATACAAGTATACAAGCTAGAAACTTTTATCTGCTGAAAAACGTATAAACTCGTCCAATGTTTACCCACAGACGCAAGTATGAGGAGTACCAATTGTAAAATATTAAATTCATCAAGAAACCCAACATAGGACTCAAATATAAAGGCGACCATTTTTTTTAACTATAGACTCAAGACACGGTGGGGTAATGGATAGCTGCTCGGATCGAGGAAGCGAAGAGTCGAGTTCGAATTCCAGTCGGACCCATTGCATCCAATTACGTGCTAATAATTTTGAGAAAGGTATGAATCCTCTTCCCCACCCCGACTATGGGTAAATAGCAAGAGAGACCGGGTTCTATATCTGTTATATACAGTACCTGCGAAAACTAATGGGTATTTCGCAATCCACATAAATACATTGAACAATATTGTAAGTGGAGGGTAATATGATGTCTAAGTAGTCCACCACTGGCTGTGGTTTACCTACTTCGCGCCGTTGGCGAGTATTGTATTTTGTTGATGTTATAAAGATTACCATTTCATTTCCAATCTCTGTTTTGGTTATTCCTCATTCTCTAACCTTTTCTAGGTTACAAAAAACTATCTATCTATCTATCTATCTATCTATATATCTATCTATATATATATATATATATATATATATATATATATATATATATATATATATATTGTTCCTATCTATCTGTCTATCGTACCTATGAACACTAATGAGTATGTCCCAATCCTCATAAATACGTTGGACACTATTGCAAGTAGGGGTAATATAATATGTTAAGTAGTCCACCACTAGCAGTGGTTTACCTACTTCACGCCGCTGGCGAGTATTGTATTTTGTTGATGTTATAAAGATTACCATTTCATTTCCAACCTCGGTTTTGATTATTCTTCATTCAGTAGCTTTTTTTCTAGTTTCAACAATATCTTTGGGTGGCAACCGATCTAGGAGAAGGAAACTCTGATTCTAAAACCGACCTGGAGAAGGTTAGGCTCCGTCAGGCGATCTTGCCCAAGAAACACCACCTGATAGGTGACGGGATTCGCGCACGATCGATGAACCCGACAAGTACTTACCTATAGAATCAAGTTTAAGTCCGACTAATGTTTATCTAGAAACTAGTACAAATCCAGCCAATTTTTATAAACTTAAATATAAAAACGAAATGCATTAACAAGGGCCGATTTCTTTTTCTTATCTTGATTTATTATACGAAGGCCAGAAGTGATAGTATTGTTTCTCGGAAGGAGTGGGCGGTAAACGATCATACCGACTCTTTGGTTAGGATTTCGCCCGTGCTGGGTAGCTTCACGATAAAATCTAGGTTTGAGCGGCTTAGTGACTTTTCAGATTCTTTAGGAAATCTTTCTTGCGGCAGTCTACTGCCATTTTGGTGTTATATCATACAATTTAAATAAAATTAATCCATCTAAGTCAAAATTCCACCCCACTAAGTTTTCTGACTAGCAGTTTGCCATTCTGGGTCAGCCTACGCATTTTGTAAAACTATCTGTACTGTGTGCATTTAAGAAACAATTCTACACCTAGAGACGTTTCGATAGAGAAAAAGGAATGTTACATATTTAATATTTAAAATTTATTTTTGCAATTATTTAAAAAAATTTATTTTTGCAATTTTTCCTTGATTTCGCGACAGAAATTGAACCTAAATTGTTCAATCCCTTCGGCTTTCAAATATTCTTTTGTGAATTGATGAGGTTGCACCTGTACGTACTTAGTGTGGTTCTGTTGTGCTTTTTGAGCGTCGTGTGCAAACGTATCAGTTTTCTGTGCCGTCAATGACTTTTTCACAAGCCTTCACGCCCAACTTAGGGTTTGTATTTCATTTTTATGTACAAAGTCTGTTCGGATCGTCATCTTCCTCATGGCAGTTTTGCTTCCGCAAGATAGTCGCAATGATGGATAACCTGCTGTTCAAATGCATACAAGTCAGCCACACCCAAAATATTTCTGGAGATGTTCACTGTCTCATACATGCAGTGAGGGAGTCAATGTTGTCACAGCACGTCACATTCTCTCGTTCACAATCGACTGACAAACTGTACAGCGCCAGCTTAGACGACGATCATTTACATAAGGTTTTTTTTTCTGGAGATGGACAATCTTGAGGTTTTTCTCGGGCTGATATTTTCCGCTGACATGAAGTGGAACGATTATATTGAATCAATTGTTAAGTCTGTTGCTAGAAAAAAAAAACCTTGGTTTACTGTATTGTCCAGGACAATTTTTTTCCACAGAATGTATCTTAAACATTGTAACTAATAGATAGATAAATAGATAGATATTATCAGACTAGGAGAGATAGACATGATCAGATTGAGATAGATAGATAGATAGATAGATAGATAGATAGATATGAACAGACTGATATATATATATATATATATATATATATATATATATATATATATATATATATTTCAATAAAGGGGACAATAAGAGGACAACGAAAATATATGTACTGTTGTAATCCGAAAATGCTATTAGAAATGAGTTATTGTTGTCCTCTTATTACTGAGAGAAAAAACAAGAACAAAATCTATTCCATACCTGAGGATGTCTGTATGAACAGACGAAAGCTTGTAAAAATAAGAACTTATGCAACAGAAATTTATAGAAACAAGGATCTTTTTATGCATAAACACGTTTTTGTATATTATTTGAATTTTTCGCGACGATGGATTTCTCGCCAATTAAATCATTAACCTTTGTATTTGTTTTTGCATGAATAATTCATGAATATATATATATATATATATATATATATATATATATATATATATATATATATATATAGGGAGAGCGATAAAGTTAGAGAGACAGGAAGACAGACGGACAGATAGGTAGATAGATGAAATCGGACGGACAGTTAAATATGAACAGATTGATAGAATGGAAATCGACGTGTTTTTCAATCTGCTTGTCTGAATTATCTTCAAGAAGCGTGAGCAAGATCTAAAAGGTCAGCCAATCTAAGAGTGATCTCATCTCACAATCCTCACTCTTGCTCCATATGTGGCCTCCTTTATAAATTATTAGCGGGTCTTAAATGCCACTTAAGATTATCGCACAAAATTTCATAACTAAATCAACTAAGATGTCAGATCCTCATATGTCGAAACCGACGGGAGAGTCCATTATTATTATTATTATTATTATTATTATATATAGATAGATAGATAGATTGATAGATATGATCAGACTGATACAGATAGATGGAATGAGACATTGTTTTTATATTTCTTTTTATATTAATTTTTTAAGATAGATTTAAGCTGATAAAACTTTAAGTTTCACTCTGATGTGAAAGCCATTTGCTCGTTGTTTTTTACTCTCGCCCGCCACCAAATATTTATTGCTTTTTTTTTCTCCCAGACAGATCGACTCGGATTTAATAAGAAGGCAAAATACACTCCGATTGTTCTTCCTTAAGTCAGACAAAATTTTCTCAAATGTTTATCGCAGTTGGGGTTGTTTTAGCTCTCCTCTTCTCTTTGCTTCTGCTTTCTTTCTTTCTTCAATTCGCCATCTTTTCTGGTATTTCATCATCAACATCTTCTCCTTCTCCATCTAATATGACGACTAAAACTACTACTTTCTCTTCTAAAATGTGTCTGTGGATTTCATTCTCTTTTCGCCTTTTCATATCCAATTCCTTTTCTTTTTTTTTTCTTTTAAACTTTTTCTATAACCCCTGTTTCTATAACCACTTTTTATATTTTTCTTTCTCGGTTATCTTCTCCTTCTTCTTCCTCTTCCTCTTCTTCTTCCTCTTCTTCTTCTTCTTCTTTCTCTTCTTCTTCCTCCTCCTCTTCTTCTTCTTCTTCTTCCTATTCTTCTTCTTTTTCTTCTTTATGTCTCTTTCTTTTTTATCATTCACTTCTTTTCTCTTCTTTCTTCCTCTTTCTTCTTCTTCTTCTTCTTCTTCTTCTTCTTCTTTATGTCTCTTTCTTTTTTATCATTCACTTCTTTTCTCTTCTTTCTCTTCTTTCTCCTCTTTCTTCCCACTTCTTCATCTTCTTCTTCCTCTTCTTCTTCTTCCTATTCTTCTTCTTTACGCCTCTTTCTATTTTTATCATTCACTTCTTTTCTCTTCTTTCTCCTCTTTCTTCCCACTAATTCCTCTTCTTCTTCTTCTCCTTCTTCTTCTTCCTTTGCTTTTTCTTCTTCTTCTTGTCATTAAATATTTTTCTCTTCCGATTTTTTGATATGATTTTTTCTCCCTTCTCTTTCAAATTCTTTTGTTTTCGTTTTCTTTCTTCCTCCTCTTTTACATTTCCTTTCACTTCTTTTCTTCCTTCTCTTTCTCATTCGTTTCCTTACTCTTCCTTTCTTCTTCTTCTTTTATATTCGTTTGCTTTCATTTTCACATTCTTTTTTCTTTTTTCCTTCTCATTCACTTTCTTTTGTGTTCACTTTCATCTTTCTATTTCACATTCTATTGCGTTCCATTTCGTTTTCTTTGTTTTTTTTTCTCTTTTTTCCTTCTTTCATATTCTTTTACTTTCTCTTTCTTCATTCTCTTTCACATTCTTTTACTTTTTCTTTCGTTCATCCTTTTCTTTACATTCGTCTGCTTTCCTTTTCACATTCTTGGGCTTTTTCTTTCTTCATTCTCTTTCACATTCTTTTGCTTTCTCGTTCATACTTCATTCTCTTTGGCAATCTTTCATTCAGTCTTCTTTTTCTCATAGTTCAATTTCACTTATTTATTCAAGTCCTTGGTCCATTTTTGGCGCCTTCTTTTCATTCCACTTAATTTCCATCTTTTATTTTTGTTTATTTTCTCGTTTTACTTCGACATTTCTTTCCTCTTTTTTGTTTACCTTATTTCAATTTGTTTAAATATTTCTTCTTTTACTTTTTTTTAATTCTTTTTACATTTCAATTTGTTTCTTTATTTGTAAAGCCTCCGTGGGCGGACGTTGTTTGGATTCCAGTTGGAACGGACTTCTTCGTCTGCTTATATCAATCCTTGTTAACGTAACGCTTTGTCTTGAAACTAATCTCGTCTCCTTCCACAAACGTATTCTTTTGCGTGATAATCTACGCAACTTTGTTCTTTTATTTATTTCGGGGCTTATGACTGCCATTTTTTTTTTTTTTTTACTTCATCCGTGCAGAGATGAGTTTCTTTGTAGACAGTTTGAAAAAATATTTTCTTACATCGACAAGAAGATCTCAGAGAATGTCTCGAATTTCTAGCAATTAAGGAGTTCATCATAAATACTCATGAAAATCCGTCCACACACGCGCATGCACACACACACACACACACACACACACATATATATATGGATGCATATATATATATGTATACACATATATATATACATATATATACATACACATATATAGTCGACTCTCCCGTCGAAATTCGACGTATGAGGGTCAAGCAGATCAGTTTCCAGGAAACCAACAGCCCGACACCGGCACATGAGATTTGATTATAGTGGTGAAGGCCTCGTGCAGGACCATCCACACTTTTTGAAGGGACGAATACAGAGACCTGGTGCACCGAATGCCACAAGATTCCCAAACGACCCTCCGCAGGTTTTGAATTCCGAGTTGTCCTTCTCCTAGACCAGTTGCCATCCAAGGCTATAGAACCCAGTCTGTCCTGCTATTTTACCCATAGCTGGAGGGAGAGGAAGAGGATTCATACCTTTCCCAAGGGTATTAGCACGTAAGTGAATGTCATGGATTCGACTGGAATTCGAACACATATATACATATATACATAAATATATACATATATATACATATATACATACATATATGTATACATATATATATATATATATATATATATATATATATATATACATACACATATATATATACATATACATATATATATATATATAAATACATATACATATATATATATATATACATACACACACACATATAATTATATATATATATATATATATATATATATATATATATATATATATATATATATATGTATGTATGTATAATTGCACTATTTACCCATCGACTATTGTCATATATTTGTTGTTGTTATCCCAATATTTCGGCCGCTGATGTATTACATCGGGGTGAAACGTTGTGATAACTTTAAGGAATATCAAGATACCAATGTGCGGTTTATTATGTAAATGATTATGATTCCTCACCCCAGAAATTCAGACATAAGAGGACTACAATGAGTTAACCCACTGACATTTCTCCTAACACAGAATAAAACAGGCCATAACTTCCATTAAAAAAAGTACTTTTAATAAGAAAGGTACATGCTCTGCTACGAGATACCACATTGAGAAGAAATACTTTTCCATCGATAAATACATGCCAAACACATTTTTTTAATAATACCTACTTTCAAAAACCCATGCGTAAAGAATATCAGTGAGGCAGTAATTTTTACCTCTTTTGTGCTTATTATTTATTTGTTCTTGAGCTAACGAGATGGCCTTATTTTTTCATGGATTAAAACGTTGGTTGAGGGTTTGGTGACATAGTATATGTGAGTTCAATCCCTGGGCCGGGCAGTGTGTATTTGTACCCAGTGGAAACGGGACATGCAATAACTAAGCGAAACAAGGCGAAATACCCCTAGATAAGGCCATTGGAACAATATATTTCTACATCTGTAGATTAAATAAAGAGTTCACTTCGACATTCACTGTATGTAAACGGATCGTCATACACCTGACGAAGAACGGAGGAAAGAACGACCGAAACATTTTGGTAACAAAACCAAAGAATTCGCATGTAAATAACGTAATTAAGAGAATTAAATTTATTGGAGTCATTCAGTGACAACAATTTTTTCGTATTCTTCTTTTCTTTTCTTTTCTTTCCTGGTGAGACCAAACGAACAACAGGGCAATATGGATGTCCCTGAAATTAAATAGCATGGCCGGAAATTAAATATTGGCCATTGCAATATGCGAAGGATAAAATTGGGAAAAGTTGCTATTTTCAAGATGGGGACAATACATCATTGACGTCGTTTGAAAATGTGAAGTATCCTTGACCCTGAATGAATGTAAATATAATTCAGAATCTTCACTTAAAATTTAATAGAGCTTTCTTTTTTCTGCATTCTAAAGGGTTCATTAGATACATTTGTAAAGCGATCAGTGATTCGGCATTTAACTTTCGTTAGCATATGCCCATGGCTGACAGAGCGAAAGCATTTATGCAAGCGGAGAAAGCATTTTAAAATTAAACAGAATAGATAAATATGCCATTCTAACATTTGACCTTCACTCTTTCCTCTTTTCGTAGGAAAATGCGATCGCCATTAACGACAGAACTCGATTTTCGACACGCTGAAATTCGCTTGGAAAATGGAAGCATTGAAAAGCAAATAGAAAATCAAGTACATTAGAAGCTATCTTTTTGCGAATGTTTTATTTGTACATTAAGCAGAAATTGTTTCGGCAGTTATCTATTTAGTAGTAATGATACCCAGCGTTCGCTGGGCTAAAATGTCTTTCTTCAGGTCTCTGTTATTAGGTTGTCTGGAAAATAATATCGGATTTTAGAATAAAGCTTTTGTTATGTAATCACCATTGTTTCAAGAAAATATATTAATGATTCCTAATGATTAAAGCGTCCTCGTTGTTAATTTTATATCGGCTTATTTCATAAATTTAGCTTACACTTTCCATGCACCTCATCTTGAGCGGGAAAATAAAGACGAAATGCGTTGACTTCATGTGCTTGAGTTTAAGCTTGGTCATAATGCTTCTCAAAATATTGGCATCACAAACAGAGAATGGGGTAAATAATCCACCTGCAGTCAGACAGTAAAAATGCTGGTTTCTGAAGAGTCGACAGTCTTGAATAGCCGAATAAAACCCAGGGCTCACTATCAGAGAAATGACAAAGATAATGGGTGTCAGGATTTCGAAAATATCCGCTCATCTACAAGAAAATCGGCAAGGTGAAAAGAAACTCGATAAATGGATTTCACATGAACCCAGAGAAAGTGAAAGTGAAAGTGAAAGTGTTCGACGTTTTGAAGTGCGTTCGAAATTCGAATGATCAGTTTCTGGATCTAATAGCGACTTCTGATGAGAAATGGATCCTCTATGAAAATCGCAAAAGACCGGCTCAGTGTCTTGATAATGACGAATGATCCGAACACTTTCGAAAACCAAAATTGAACAGACTGAAGATTATGGTGACTGTCTGCTGGTCCGTCATTGGCTTTATCCATTATAGCTCTCTGGCATCTAACCAAAATATTACTGCTGAAGTTACCTGGCAGCAATTGGGTGGAATGCACATGTGGTTAATCGAAATGCAACCAGCACTGGTTAATCGGCCAGGCTTCATGGCATTGCTCGGCTACATGTCAGGATAACACTATAGAAGTTCACCGACTTAGGATACGAGATCTTGCAATAGCCACCATATCCCACTATTTCTCGCTCACTGACAACTACTTTTTAAAACTATATTCTGTTGCAATGAAGATGCAGAAACTACATTTAAATATTTGTTGGTGTCTAAAACTTTTAGCGTTTCATCGTAAAGGTTAAAATAACTTTGGAACTCAATGGATCAAATTTATTGGGTTCATATTTTGACTGATTTAAACACTGTTTAAATACGTTTATTCAGGAAGAAATTTTGATTCAACAAGATAACCAAAAAATCCTTTGCCGTTTTTGATTCATTAGTAAAAAGGTATACAGCATATGTGATAAACCGTTAGCCCTCACATTAATCTTCATCGGCATTCACAACCATTTTCCAACATGCGAAATGCTATGGCGGTAAAAGCTAGGTGTCTTGGACGCAATGAAAACCGTAAAAACGTCTGCCGCAAGTCTGCCTCATTTTCGAAGAATTTTTTTTTTTTTTATCCATGGAATAGAAAAGGTGGTAATCTGTAGGTGCAAGATCCAGGGATTAAGATGGATGACACATTCTTTCCCAGACAAGTCGGTGTATGCTATTCCTAGCCACCTACTCCACAAGAGGCGTACCATTGTCATGAAGGAGAGTAAACTCTTGCGATTAACCGATGTTGACTCCTTATGCTTCAGTGTCACTTGCATCCATTACAACTGCTGTGAGTACAGATCCGCAGTGACGGTTTGGTCCGTTAGTAGCAGCTCATGGTGCACCAGTTGTCGACTAGTCCACCACATGCAGAACATAATTTTGCATAACTGTAGAGGTTCTCTTGTCGTATGCGTCACTAAGGTCCCATAGTATGATT